GTTGGTTAACTCAGGAAGCCCGGGGAGAGAACGTAAACTCGAAACTAAATCCAAACTAACCGAACTCTCTATGTTTATATCCCTTGCGTTCCCCCCTGATTTGTTCCCATCTCTCTCCTCGTCGTCGCTCTCGCGACCGGTTATGTTCCATGCTTCGTGATTTCGCGGTGTTTCACATCCGCGGATGTTTGGCAGGAGCATTGCGTTCATCAGTTAAATCTACGCACCTAAATACAAGCTAGAAACAAATGTAAGCAACGAAAAAAGACTCCGAATGAAGACTTTTATATAAATATATTTAATTTTTATTGTAATTTTATTTATGAATTGATTTTGTCAAATTTTTCAAATCTTATGATCGCATACTTTCAATTATCTGCATGATCAAAATTTTTGATGCATTTTAGATGCGCGCGAGCACTTTTCAATATTATAACTTACGCATAACAAATCATTGTAATCGTAAATTACAGCAATAATAACACATGCGATAATGATTGCTCAGCACGCGGTCTTAAAACTGCGGCCCTGCGTCGTTTATTGTCGTAGGATCTATCGCACGGATTGTATTACGTGTGCAAACGTACGATTCGCTCGTGCGTGACGCATACACGTGTGTCGCACGCGACTGTGTGCGTCGCGGAATCGTAAACCGGTAGATATTAAACTTTTACAATCCTAGCTCTCGTTGGCTGACTGGCTGGTCGGACAAGAGGTTATGATGATTAGATGTAACTTGATAATACGCGGGAGCCCAGTATCGCGACGCAGCGGCCCTCCAGTATGTTGGCGAAAGCCATGGTCGTTAAAGGTGCCGTTAAATCGGCGGAAGCTAAAAATCGTAAAAGTTTGACTCTCCTCCCTTTTCAGGAAACTCCGCAAATCGAGTCGTATATCGAATCGAGAAATGCGTTTGTCTCCGACACATTTTAATTAATAACGATTTCATAAATTTATCAATATCTATCGGTTTATTAAATTTTATCTTGTTTCCACTATTAATAAATTTTATTAACACTTTCAATTAATAACGATTATTTAGATGAGAATCGATTGTGTTTATGGGCAATCATTGCTTCTGTTAATCGTTGTAGTAAGTTTACACGATTGTCTAAAAATAATAAATCATATTTAATATATAAAGATTTTATTTTAAAAATCACAATTGTATGATCAAGTTTGAGAATACAACAATCATTTATATTGAATTCGCTGATGACATGCCAATAATAGTAACTATTGCGAATGGAACTGGTTTTCTTATTGCATCGTGTGCCTTTGATCTCATTGGTAGCGATTGCGCAAATAAGATTTGTAAAGCTATATGTCATAATTGTAGTTTATAGTACGCAGCGCGGAGTGCTGTAACGCATAGTGAAATCGATATAAAACATAGCGATTGCAAATTTCAAGTTTGAGATTACGATGTAAATAAGAAACTTCGCGTAATTCATCGCGTGCCTCCAATATTGATGTGCGCGCAGACGAAGACGTGTTGCATAATAATTTAATAAGATACATTCTCTATGAAAAGTACTCTCGATGCTTTTCTACATCGAGTCTACAAGAGCGTCACTCTGTTCCGGCACAAACGTATTTTACTCAACTGCCGTTAAAACGTCTCTCTACGAGAAAATGTAAGAAACGGAAGCCGTCGACAGAGAGATTCGAGTCGATCGTCGAAGCATACGGCAGTCGATCGGGCATCCGGCATCCGCATTTTTATGTCCCGACATAAACGTAACGGCGAGTCGTAACGCGTGCCACGAGCAAATGACATTGCATACTCAAGTGAACCTACCCTTCGTCGGTGGTCGCATAATAATTCTCCGTATTGTCAAAGCCAAAATGCGCGCGCGTCATTATTATACGTTTATACCGAGTAAGATAATTTCCTCTCTCTCCCTCTTTCTCCCGACACTGCGAGAGCAACGATCGCCATCGCGCGGAATCGCCCGATTTAGGCAACCTCGTCGGTTACAATTCCCGTTATTGGACGTAATTCGTGATTGGCACCGGCCGTTTCTCTCGGCTTAGTGCTAATAAATTCGACCCGCCGCCTCTCGAGCGAAGAGCTGGAGGCAGCTACTCCTCGATCCGCAAGAGAGAGGAAGGAGATCGAAGGAGAACCTCGAGATATAAAGCGGTTTTGCTCCAGCAGTTTTATGAATATGCTTTCTCGACGCGGTAGGCGCACCCCTTGCCGGGGCAGAAGTCGCGGAGCCCGTCGACTTCTGGAAAGGGGGTTGAAAGCCGAGCGAGTGTTATAGGTGGACGATAATTTATCGACCACCCTCGTGAAACAAGGGAAACCTTTCCGCGCCGTTTCGAAAGTTTCCCGAAGTTCTTAGCGTTTAAGCATAGTTGTCGGAGATGCTAAGTGCGAGTTCATTGATCAAGCATGATAGTCGACGATGATTTTGGACCATTCTATTTATTGCTTGAGATGTTTTCTATTATATAAAAATTAAAAAAGAATAGAAGAATATGTAATATATGGTATAACTGACGATTCAACAATCATAACATTTGCAAAAATGGAAAAAATGCATCTATGTTCAATTTCAAGAACCAAAAATTATTTTTTCTTCCAGTAATAAAAAATTCTACAATCGCAAATATCTTTTGATATTCATGCTGCGCGCACAGAAAAAGATGTCTAGCCGGTCTTTAATCTCATTTGGCTGCTTCTTGAATTGACCTCTTCGGCGAGGAGATAAGTAAAAGCTAAGAAAATTCGTTTACGATCGAAATTTTGTTTCAACGTACATAAGCCGGAGTATCGCTCGTACAGCGGTGAGTGGCGAGTTTACCGGTGAAAAACTGAGTTTACCGGTAGAAACGCAAAAAGGTAAGGAAGCAGAAGCTTTCTCCAGTGCGCGTCTGAACAAACTTGTCGGCTTAATTCGATTTTAAGGAGTGCATTGTTTACCTCGGTAAATAATTTACGGCGCGCTCACGTGCGTAATAGAGTTTCCGTAGGGTCTTGGAGTAAAGTGGTCCCGGTTGATTGACGAGGAGAACCGAGAAATTATCCTTGCATAAGACGCGAAGACTTCAAAGACGGAAGTACGATGTCGGGTCTCGAGCGAATATTCGCCGAGCGAAATTCTGCCGCCCTGCCGTTGCTCGTGATAGCCTGACAAACTCGTGTTTTATCGCATTATTTATTGCTACGAGAGAAACACGAGCTCTCCGTGCTATAGCGATCACCATCGATATACCCTCCGTACGTTCCTTGGGCCATCGACGATCGCGCACACGCATACACACGTACACTCGGCCGTTATTGATGGATTCCACCCTTATGAAATATCTGGAAGCGCGGTACGAATTTATTGCGAGCAGTTCGACCGGCTTTATCTCGTATTGTTCATGATAAACCCGCAGTGATATCCACGAGATATTCCGGAGACTCCTAAAAAGCCCCCGATGAGCCGTTATATGGCTCTCCTCCTCCCCAGTGTTTCCATCCTCGCCGACATGTATATAAATACGCTTGCTCGCTCGCTCGCACGACGTACGTTGAGCATTAATACGCGAGGGGATGATAAATCGCGGAAAAAAGAGACTTTCTCGCGAGAAATGTTGCTTCTCATGAGCTTGAGTGCCTTTCATGTCGGCTATTAGGGTAGATTAGTCGTTTTAATAATAGCGTAATCTCATTTACTCTTAGTATCCAAAAAAATAATCATCCGAAAAAGTATCTATTAAACAATTGGTTATTTCTGATTTTCAATATAACGGTTATATTATTATATACTGCACCGTTGCGTACACGCGAAACACGCATACATTATCGTTTTCAATGTCGGCGCACGTGCAACGCTATTTATGAAATATTTATGAAAACGCGCGGACTTTGCCATCTCGCCAGCCGTTCACGAGCGATTAAGAGCCGTGAAATTTTTACCTCCTCGGAATAATTTCGTTTGATGCCGGGATGGTTGCAGAACTTCTCTCCGTCGTTCCCGCTCAACGAGCGACGACATAATTATTCTTCCTGCGGCGGGGAACGCGCGCAACGAGGCTGAAGGAGCGAGCACGTGGGCGAGATATTTATTAAAGAAAATTTTCATAATCGCGCTACCGACGCGCTGTTTTTCCGGCTGCTTTGAGTGTCGTTAAAAGAATTTGCGGGCACTCGTCAGCCGTTCGTCCGTCCGTGAAGAAACGATGCGAAGGGCTCGAGAAGCTTTTCCCTCTCTTTTTCATTCTCTCTCTCTCTTTCTCTCCCTCTTCTTTTCTCCTCTTTCCGTTCTTTCAATCATCGCAGAAAAACATCGTTTCGTGACTACGCGTCGTATGGCATCGTATGCATCGAATTCTTCCGTGATTATAGATGCCGATCGCGTCGACCGCGATCGTTTCTTTCGGGAAGGAAGAATTTGGGGCAGGTTGCGGTTCGATGGTGCACGCGATCTCGCGAAAATCGAGGGTTGCATCGCCTTTCATGACGCGCTGCATCCGTCGTCTTCGATCGTCCCCGTCTCTTTCTCTCCATCTTTCTCTCTCTCCTCCTCTTCTTTCCTCTCTTTCTCTCTTTTGCTCTCGCCGTATATGATGAGTATAATATCAAAACGAGCAAAAACGTTGGCAAACAGGCGGAATTATTTCTTGCTATTACGCGCGAGAAATAACGACCATTATATTACACCGGCGTGTCTTACCCGAAGAAATTGACTGCGGTATTATCGCGGTACCACGAACACGCGAATTCAGAGAAGGCGGGAATGACGTGAAATAACGAGTGGCGATATTTTTACGTTCGATTTAATTTCGCAACACTGTGCTTCGCGACACGCGATGGAGTGTCGCCATAGACATAAAATCTTCTCGCGCCGCTATTCCTTTGCTTCTGCTCCCGCGGCCGCTATTAATGGCACTGCATGCGAAGTGCATAACGCTAACTATGACGCTGTATTTGTTTAATGCTTATTTTATGTATCTGTTCTTTGCATCGCGAAAGAGAGAGTAATGCGGACTGTTATTGGTTTCAGGTGGACGTGCGTCGATAAAAGAGCTGTCAAACGCAAGACAAATGGATCTCGACAGAATGCAGCTGAATTGTGAATTATGAGCGGGAGCTGAAATCATCTCGGTGAATTCAATTTTTAATACTATACAAATAGGAGAATAATATACGTGCCTTGTATATTTTATTATCATTGAAATGCAAAGTCATTAAAATCTCGAAACTATATAAGCGACATTTGCGCTAAATCTATTTATTCTGGCAATGCCGAGCCGAACCGATTGTCGCGAACCGACTTGATAAAGGTCTTCGACCAAGACCAATCTCCTCTGTCAATCTCCACTCGATGTCCCCGACCCGCCCATCGACCACCGTTCAATTACGCAGTCATTAACTCGCGATTGTCTCTTTCGGCGTAACCTCGTTACACCGACTTGAATCCCGGGCGCGGCAATATTCCACGCGCAGATCTCAACACAGATAGGCTTTTAGCGTATTAGCAAGCACAATGTGACAATGGAACGTAGTCCGTGCGCTACGGGAATAGCAAATGCCGCCACTCTATCCGTTTCCCATACAATGGCCGCCCGGTGTGTCTGGTGCAAACTGCAAATAGCCAGGCGAAACACGTATTTCATAAACGCCCGTAACATCGTCACCGCACACCGAAGCTCTCCTTGTCTTCGCGCACCTCTGTTTCGTGAGAAGACACGTTCGAGCTAGGAAGATTTTCATTTTCCCGGGATTTAAAAAAAATCTCACGGTTGGTACCTACGTGACAAGATAACGCAAGCATGGAAAAGATCTCGGAATCTCGGAGTAAATGTAGGACAGATAGATGTGGATAAATTATCGAAGAAAACCGCTGATCAAATTTCAAAGTCTCATTCGTTCCGACATAATATTTTATATATTTGAATATTATATATATTTTATGTTATATATATATATATATATATATATATATATATATATATTGCATATAAAATATAAATATTGTAAATATTAATTGATAACTATTTTTTGCATATTTGAAAATTGAAAGATTACTACTCGAATCGAGCTTTCGTTGTTAATTATCGAATATTGTTTCTAGATAGCTTGCAAGCGAAATGTATTTGAGAAGGAATTTTTCGATGCAGAACTCAATTTGGTTCAATAAACGTATTTAGTGCTCCTTTGACTGCTATAAATTCGCATTCTCTAAATAATCAGGGAAATGCAAGTTTTCCCTGGAAAAATATTTCGAGCCAGCTTTGGCTTTGTATCGTACAATGCAATTTGTTGTTATTAGTTTCGTAATATGCCTTATCAGCATATATTTATGAAACTTTTATAGTCTGAATTTTTACGAGCGACGTACCTTCATCTCGATGAGAAAAAATACGAAATGTATCGCGCTTGTTTGAGATTTACCTTTCTAACATGAACTGGAAATAAGAAAGAGAGAGATGCTCTACATTTAAGATTTAATGACTCCTCTGTACGTGTTCCTATGTATGACTGATTATATCAACGGCTTCGTGACTTGCCTCTAAAACCGCTCGCTTCTGTTTGCACCGCCGTCAGCGATATTACGTCAAATGCTCGTACAACCGCAATTTATTCCTGCTTGTGGCTAGATTTCACATTATTTCGATTTCAAAATCACACTTGTACAATTTATTATTTTTTATATTCTGTTTATGCTCTGTAATTTTTCTTTTTCATAACTCTTCTCGATACTTTTACATGCAATTAGTAGTACAAAACAATCTTACACGAGTACTATGAAACGAGCTATTTCGCGTAAAATCACGCCCGTATCAGAATACGTCGTTAAATTGTCTTTCGGAGATGAATACTCGAGGGGTTGAAACAGCGGTCGTATAAACCCAACTCCGCCGGACAACAAGCAGCAGGATCCTTCCGGCAGGTTACCCCGCCAATCAGTCAGATTATGCTGAATCCGGGGAACGTGGTACATACGTTATACAGCCGGTGTATATACATATATATAAGGTATGGTCGATGGATATGGGCGCGTACACGCGGCGATTTGGTTGCGCGACCACGTCGGATTTCGCTGGATGAACGCGCTCCGGTTAGACTGCCAGGGTTTGGTCACCGGTACACGCGTCGTAAAGTGACGATCAGATCAGGATGCAGGAAATTGGCCGGATTCGCGGGCAATGGGCCATGCTGATACCGGAGCCGGACCAATGTTTGCCGCGGATATCAGTCCAAAGTGTTGCGGTACGTACAACGACGTGATCGACGCACACAAGCGCGCCGCTTACACGTGTTTATCCGCCGTGCGTGTCCAAGTGCGTCGACAAATTTCAACGCGATCGTGTACAGTGAATCCCTAACATCCGGGGAATCGGCCGTAACATGATTTTAATAAAGATAGGCGCGTCGAGGATTTAACGATGTTGCTTTCGCTTTGGTAGACGTCCCTCTTCAATTCGGTTTATCGACAAGAGTGTAATTTTCCTATCAAGGATTGTAGTTTTATAATTATTTAATGAAAAAGTCATGAATCTCTTAATATTCCATTATCGATATCGTAAAAATTAACCTTAAAGCGTCGGGTTGTTATAAGAATAACATCAATAAATCGCTTGTGCGAAAAATATGTGCATATTTCCTATCGTGATTATTAAAATTTTATAACGCAGAAATCTCTCTCTTGGTCTGACTTTATGTCGTTGAAATTTCGATGGTACATTTGTAATGCCAATCGCGAACGGGAGTATATTTATGCCGAATGCATCTCGAATGCGCTAGAGTCAATATCGATCAGGTATATTCTGGCATGACGGAAACCTCATCATCCCTGATGACGCGACGAGACCATGATTCGACATAGTTCTTCGGCACGCTCCAATGTCGTGCCATTAAGCGTAGATAAGCCAGTGGCTAGAGCCACGGCCAATATTGAATGGTCCGTGTACGCAGTTTGCCCGGAGGGGTTCGCAGCACGAGGGGGTGGTTGTGCATTAGTGGCACCATTGTGCCAGCCGCCCTTCAAATCCATATTACTCGTGTAGTAGTCAGTCAGTGTCCGTCCGTCCGTCCACTTTACGTTTCCTCTCTCTCTCTCTCTCTCTTTCTGTCTCCCTCTCCCCCCCCCTCTCTGTCTCTCTGTCTCTCTTTCTCTCTACACATATCCATTCGTTCGAATGCGCGAGTATTCGACTGTGTGTATAGAGACTAGAGAGAACCCGGCCGACGCGTTCTATATGCAAACCACCGCGTAATGAGTCCGTCAACCCCGTAACGTCGTTTGCTGCTATCCTTGCACTTAGGCGACGACGGCGTTCGGACCATTTTCCGACGAATCCTACCGGACCGTCTCGAATGCAAATTCGCGTAGTCGCGCGATACTAAACGATCGGGCACGAATGCAAATTCGTCTGCGTCATCGCGATTACCGGAAAGTATCTACCCTATTCACGGATTCAAAAATGCGAGAATAACGGTGATTCGAGAAATCTCAACGCGAAACACTATTATTGTATTACCCGCCAATGCACTACTGTTAAATTTCTCTAATGAACGATAAAATATTCATAAAGTAATAGAAACAAGAAGAATGGTACATATGTGAATGGAATTTAATAATCGAAATTGAATAATCATGTGTAAAAATATAATTATATATAAAATCGTATATGTGAAGCGATGAGAATGCTTCTTTTTCAAAACTCTTTTGAAAAAGTACATTATTAAATTTTTCTTCTAATTTTAATTTACACTCAAATTAACTCTTCGAGAGAAATATAGTAGGTTAATTTGCATTAGTAGTCAACGATCTATCGCAATTTTGCGCGCTTTTGCACGCTTTTGTCGACGCGTTTAAACTATGATAGTCACAGCCACCTCCGCCTGGGCGTCTCTTAATGTCGGTTATTAGCCGGCTGTCATCCGGTCTTCGTAAGGATCGCGTGTCGCGGCCCGCTCCAACAATGGCTCGTCAACGTGCGAAACGAGATGACACAGCCGGGCGCGTGTGATAATTATTCTCGCGCGCATCTCGCGCCATCGTGTCGTGAGAGAGAAAGAGAGAGAGAGAGAGAGAGAGAGAGAGATCAAGAGAGAAAGAGAGAGAGAGGGAGAGAGAGAATAATGCGAATGCTCGCATAAACGAGCCATGCGGCGCACACAGAGACGAGCGACGGTGAATATTACGGAGCAGGTTTGCCGGCATCAGTCGCCGTCGCCGGCATAATGTTTGGCATAGCTTGTCGCAATATGTTACGCACTATCCAGCGAGCACAGAGCGCGTTCGTCCCTCCAATCGGGTTACTACAAGTATCTTCCTGAGCCATGTTCCTCTCTATATGGGCTACATACAATCGCTATAACCAGCAAATCTCGTGCGCTGTGCTCGTCGCACCCTAAACTGCCAGGTTCGTAATCACGCCGCGCTAAATAACGCAACGGCATCGACCGACTGATTAAACGGGAGCGCTTTATCACGGCAACGATAGTGCGATTCGTCCTGATATATGGCGATTGAAAAATTCACTACGCTGCTCATCCGCTGACGAATCAATGTTACTTAATCAACAAGAGATTAACAGACGAATCAATGTTACTTAATTAACGAGAATATTACAGTTTTTGATTAATCGATGCTATCTCGAAAAAATTTTCAACGATATCTAAAACAATAAATATGTATTTCACTAAGATTTCAAGTAGAATATTAATAATAATTTAATTATATATATTTTTCAAAAATAAAAATAAAATTCTGTGCCAAATAATAAAAATATATTTTTTTATTATTGCTTTTACTTTTGCACGTATAAAAATTCAGGATTATAACTTTCCCTGCACATCACCCAACACAAGTATGATGTACGAGAAATTTATTGTAGATGATTCTCAATCTGTTCATTAAATATTCATCAGACACTGTTTGTTAGATATTAATAGAAAGATTCTGTTTTAATGAATAACGTACAAAGTACTGTGCAAAATTGTCATTTTTATGGGGCAAGAGTTTAGTACAAAGTACTATACAAAATTGCCATTCTTGATGTGACGAGAGAACACATCGACGCGCGCGAATAGCATCCTATACACGGATACGTTCTCGTATATCACCACGCTGGTTGGTTAGCCAGCATCAGTCG